GGGGGGCGCAGTGGCGTGGGCTCTGCTGGGTGACTGGACCCTGCAGGCAGGCAGGAGTGCGCCTCAGCACCACGGGGAGCGGGGCTGTTCCCAAGGGGCATCTCCATCACCAGCGGTAGTGGGAAGGAGGAGTGAGAAGGAGCCTTTGGGAAATATTTCCCTGCTGCTTTTTGTAGAAGGAGACAGATTTGTCTCAAATATGTTCACACGTGCTTGGAAAGAGAAGATTAAATCAGGTGGTGTTTTAGGAGACCTTGGTGTCCATCAGTATGTACTCTGTTAGATGTGTGTCTGGCCATGTACGAGTGTAAACAACTGAATCAGCATATTTCAATAAATGTGTACATGTAAGCATGAAAAAGTGATTCTAGACAAATGTGATTAGAATACAAACCATTTATTTCATCAACATTGCATTTTTGCTTGCTCTAGAATGTCGTCTTTGATTTGAAGCGCTGTCTTGAATTTCCTGGAAGTTTGGGACACCAAATTCAGTGTTTTTCCAAGCTTTTTTTTCTCTTTGACTTTAAGCATTTCTGTATCTCTTCTTCTGGATTCCCTGCTGTCTTCCTCCCAGTTTTTCTCTCCAGCACTCTTTTGGCCTACCTGGCTCTTTCATTTGCATATCAAAGAGAGTATTTAATTAGTTCCTTATTGTTACTGTTCCTGTCTTTCTGTCCTTTCAATGAAGGTTTAATCTTTATTCATCCATGCTTTTATTAAAGATCATTCTGTAAACTAGGTATAAATAATTGTTTTTGCTTCCATAATAACAAAATAAGACATTTCTGCAGGTTTCCTTCCTGTTATGGAAAAAAGGGCGATGAGTCATTGTTGATTTGCAGGCTGAAATTGAAAAATCCTTCCTTGATCTCAGGTAGGAGTGTTGTTATAATAAAGCAAGCTGGCACACCTACCATTTGTCTTATGTAAACTATCTCAGGGAGGATGCAAAAAATAGATATGCAAATGATCCCCCAGCATCATTACAGGACCTAAACTACAGGATAATCTTCTTTCAGTACTCTTCCTTACTGCCTAATATCCAGGTTTTAGTTTTAAAGCAGAATGCCCTTAGGAATAAATTTTCATCTTTCGCAAGAAGTATGTCTTTTTTCATTTATTGCTGTTACAGAAGATTAGGCTTTCAACTTGCTAGATTATTATTAATTAATAATTAGGTTTATATTCTCAGTAAGTCCGAATTCTAGACTTCTGAAAAACTAGAAAGTTAACTGCATGTGACATAAGCTGAAATTGGCTTGGCAGTGCATGTTATTCACATGTAACATCAGTGGATGAGTCATGCGCATTGCACAATAATTCTACAGTTGTTTTTTATTGCTCTCCTGAAATATGGGCCCACACTTCATTACATTTATTTACTGTAAAGTGTAAATTCACAATGGCTTCATCTTCAGTGTCTGCGTGCTTCTTCTGTTATGTGTTTAATGTAAATGATGAGAGCAGTATCCTATCCGTACCAACATATGGTTGTCTAAGTCAGGGTGGACTGGTCTTCTACATCCTGTGATCATGAGGGCAGTCTTGAGCATCTCCTTGATCTCTCTTGTTTCCAGGGATCAGGCAATTGGTGGTTTTCTTCCTGCATTGGTTGGGCACTGACAGGAAGCTAAGAACCTCGTCTTTTCTTTGATTTTGTTGAGTGGAAGAAAATACAAAGAAGTTGGCTGCCTTTAAGAGATATCTCCCCCCCCCCCCCCACCCACCGGCG